ACTTCCTTTATAACCACAACCATGCAACTTTTGTATTTTAAAGGATTTACTTGTCATCACATTAACGATAAATTCTTTTTCTATTGTTTCCACAGTCTCTTGAACTAAATAACCGTCTAGCAAAAACATGGACCGCACCGTTTCTCAAGCAGCTGCTCCCTCTATTAAAAACTGAGTCATTTCAGGAGAAGATCCAGCGAAAGCAGCATTTACTTCTCATGCAAGAAGACACGCATCCACTCATTCACAAGGCACAGAGACATTCTTTGTTTGTCACAGTCTTTTTTTTTTTTTTTTTTTTAAAGTAAGTCAGTTCGTCACTTATTTATTCTCTCTCTCTATATATATATATATATATAATATTTTAAGCACAGAATTTATTTAACACTGCACTGGTTATTTTCAGAATTTAATGCTTACTATGCTTTTAAGCAGGCCTTATGTAACATTAGAGCAAATCCAATTGCAATTTTTTGAGAGCGCTCTGAGGAATAGTTTATATATTTATTTTCTGCAGATCTGTTTTGATTTTACTATTTAGCAGCTACCTGACTTTATGTATATGTATATCCATATATTTCTGAAATAAAGCTGTCATATACAACCTTACTTGCATTTCTTATTGGTTTTTTTTTTTTTTTTTTTTCTTTTTTATCTCCAGGCCACTTAACCCCCAGATCGGGGTCCCTCACATGCTGCTCCGCACACAAATGATTATCACGCTTGTACACTACATATGTATATATATGTATACACATATACATACATACACACATACATACACATATGTTACTTTAAAAACCTTTTATTTATTAACTTATGGTGTTCTGTTCAAAGACTGATCAGAACAGGGTTGCAGAATTTGAATTTTGCGTAGCTCCAAACATTAATTTTAGCACTGCAGTGTAATTTACATATACGAGTTGCAACTTTTTAAAGCTCTTATTTATCTTATTTATTTATTTTCTGGTACCGCATCAGGCCTTCACACACACACCCAGCGCTGTACACACACACACACACACGGAGCTCCCAAAACTCTGCTCTGCATTCTGCACTCTCCTAGTGCTGCACTTTCAATCCAGAGCCGTAAGCAGCCTCTTGCTGCGCCTCACACACACAGGCTGAACTCAGCTTACACACACAGTGAAGCTTGTCTACAGCTGTGCCTTTTTCCTCTTGATTCTGCAGCCTTCACTTCCCAAATCTTGCTCCAGTTACCTCTACTGTTAACATCTACCCCTTTTCCTTCATCGCCTTTTCTGCTGACTTTCTCAATAAAACCTCATTTCTCGTGGCTTCAACTGGGCTGCTTGTCATATTTTAAACATTACTTATTTTATGCAAAAACAGTTACCTTAGAACATTTTTCTCATCTCATGCAAAGGTCCTTGACCTTTCGAATTTAGGGAGCTCTCTTTAGCCTCCCAGGGCCTTAACCCAAACCAGGTCCTCGACCTGTGCCTTTAAAATTTAGGGAGCTCTCTTTAGCCTCCCAGGGCCTTAACCCGAACCAGGTCCTTGACCTGTAGAATTTTAGGCTTCCCACACCTATGGACTCCAACCAAGCATTATATAACCTCGTTATATATTCTATTCACTCGTCAGCAAATAGTGTGGTCAGCCACGACCTGGAAAATGGAATTTAGGGCTTCTCTAATAGCCCTGGGCCTCCAACCCTTCTCTAAGTGGAATTTAGGGCTTCTTATTGCCCTGGGCCTCCAACCCCTACTGTTCTGTTCTATTTCCTTATCTCGTTTATCATTAAACCATTGTGAAAATCCTCATTTTATTTTACCAATAAACCATTACAAAAAATCTCTTATTTCTTCTGCACTTGTCTCCACTTTCTTCTCCAACTATTATTTTAGGACCACAGCTACTATGACTCTGGACACAAAGGCTTTGGATAAATCCAATGAGCAGATTTTAGATAATAGGCTCTGCTTACCTTATTTCCACCGCGGTGTTTTTGTGCCAAGATTGTTCGCTGGGTCAGTGGGTCGAATCGTCCTCCAAAAACTCCTTTTTCTTCAAAAAGAAAAAATCCTGTTCGTGACGCCAAATTTGTTGGTCTTTCTTCTGTTAGACCAAGCACGGGTACGGAGAAGATGGAGTTAAACACCTTTTAAGTTGACAGAACGAGGAGACAAATGATCAGAAGTCCAGTCACTGTTTTCACCGCTCATGAGGGGGAGAGCGTGCAACTCCAGCAGAGCCCGCGTTCTGCTCCTGTCTGTTGCTTCAGACACTCTCGCCGTTCTACTGAAAACGGCTGATTTTTATTGAAGATTACAGGAATGTTACATACGCAGTTTGCCATGTACATACGTCAATGATCATGACAGGTGAAAATAACAGCCTTGTTAGCGGACAGTTTAATACATCAATAGAACATACATCCTTGAGATTACCAGGAACATCCTGATATATTCATGACAGGAGAAGATACATTCACTGGTACCGAGAGGCACTGAGTGGAGATGGAATGTGCACACTCCCTTCTCTTGTGCAGGAGAAGATACACAGCTATTAATCTTTGTGTGAAGGCCTTGAGTATCTGAGCGAGTTTCCATAGCATAGATAATAAAATGAGCTTATAAGGTAAATATATATATATATTGCCTTGTTAGGCAGGATCTAACATGTCACAAGAACTTGTAATTCTTAAGATAAGCAGAAACATCCTTGGTAACCTGGTACAAGAAGAGACTGCAATGTCTCACTCCCTTTTGGAGTTCCTGCAGCTGTTTTAAGAGCTTGTGCAGGAGAGAAACACAGAGAGACCTTTATATTATAACATGATCCCATAATGAAAAGAGTAGCATGTAAGAATGAATAATAAAAGAGCTTATAATAATATATGAAAGAGCTTATATGATATATATTTTCAGGGGTAAACGAGCAGGATCGCTGGTGAGACTCCGACAACGGGGATTTCGTATGCCTCTCCCAGCAATACACCTAGCGAACGTCCGATCCCTACCTAATAAAATGGACGAGCTGCTCCTTCTGAACAGGACCAACCGAGATTTTGCACACTCCGCTGCCCTCTGCTTTACGGAAACGTGGCTCAGTGACTTGATTCCTGATAATGGCTTATACCTGCCCGGGTTTTGTTTACATCGCGCAGACCGGGAAAAAGAGCCATCAGGGAAGACGAAAGGAGGTGGAATCTGCTTCTACATTAATGAATGTTGGTGTACAGACGCTACAGTTCTCAGTAAACATTGTAGCTCAAACTTGGAGACAATATTTTTGAACTGTAAGCCGTTTTACTCCCCGCGGGAAATATCATCATTCATTTTGATTGGAGTATACATACATCCTCAAGCAGATGTGAGTGTTGCATTGCAGACTCTCGCCGATCAAGTTACCTCCACAGAGAACAAGTACCCAGACTCAGTGCTCATTATTTTGGGTGATTTCAATCAGGCTAAACTTAATACCGAACTACCGAAATACAGACAGCACATCAGATGTCCCACAAGAGGCAAAAACATATTGGATCATTGCTACACAGTTCTTAAAGGGGCATACCACTCTGTCCCTCGTGCAGCTCTCGGCCTCTCTGACCATAATTTGATTCATCTTATCTCCACTTATAAACAAAAACTAAAATCTGTAAAGCCAGCCATCAGGACAGTGAGGAAATGGACAAATGAAGCAAAAGAGGAGTTACAGGACTGTTTTGATTGTACAGACTGGAGAGTATTTGCAGATGCCACCGGCGATCTGAACGAGCTAACGGACACTGTGACATCCTACATCACCTTCTGTGAGGAAGTGTGTGTGCCAACAAAGACTTTTCGCACCTTTAATAACAACAAGCCATGGTTTACAGCAACTCTGAGCCAGTTGAGACGGGCAAAGGAGCAGGCTTATAGGGCAGGAGACAGGCCTCTGTAAAATCACTCAGGAACATGTTGAACGAGGAGATCAGAGCTGCTAAAATTAAGTATGCAGCAAAGCTGAAAAAACTGTTTACAGCCAACAACCCCACATTATTATGGAGAAACATTCAGCAAATTACCAACTACAGGAGATCATCCTCCATTTCTGATGCTAATCATGGCCTTGCTGAGGAGCTAAATGGCTTTTATTGTCGCTTTGAGGAAAGGAATGTCACACCCCTCCTCCACTCCAGCATAGCGGCAGCCGCCACCCCTCACCTGGACACTCTTACTCCTCTTTCCTCTAAATCTCAAGCTGCGTTCCTTGTGAAGGAAGAGGATGTCTGCAACATCTTTAGGAGACAGAACGTATGGAAGGCACCAGGCCCAGATGGAGTAACTCCTTCCTGCCTCAGGACCTGTGCTGTCCAACTAGCACCTGTCTTCACAACGATATTCAACAGATCGCTGGAGCTGTGAGAGGTTCCTTCATGCTTCAAAAGCTCAACTATCATCCCAGTACCGAAGAAATCCTCCCCTACCAAACTGAATGACTACAGACCCGTGGCTTTGACATCAGTAGTCATGAAGTCCTTTGAGCACTTGGTGCTGTCCCATCTTAAAAGCACCACAGGCCACCAGCTGGATCCCCTGCAGTTTGCCTATAGGGCAAACAGGTCAGTGGATGATGCAATTAACATGGGGCTGCACTTCATCCTGGAACATCTTGATCAACCAGGGACCTACGCAAGGATATTGTTTGTGGATTTTAGCTCTGCTTTTAACACCGTTATACCAGAAATCCTCACCTCAAAGCTTTCTCAGCTCACTGTTTCCCCTGCCATGTGTCAGTGGATTTCCAGCTTCCTGACAAATAGGAGCCAGCATGTGCGGTTGAACAATGTTACGTCTGGCACAAGGTTGATCAGCACCGGTACACCACAGGGGTGTGTCCTTTCTCCACTGCTCTTTTTTTTGTACACCAATGACTGCACCTCTAAGGACTCAGCTGTAAAAATCCTGAAATTTGCAGACGACACCACTGTCATTGGGCTCATCCAGGATGGTGATGAGTCTGCTCATCAGCGAGAAGTTGAGAGGCTGGTGGTCTGGTATAGTCAGCACAATCTTGAGCTTAACACCCTTAAGACTGTGGAGATGGTCGTGGATTTTAGGAAGCTTCCACAGTGCTGCCCCCCCTCACAATATCCAACAGCCCAGTGTCAATGGTGGACTCATTCAAGTTCTTGGGAACTATCATTTCCAGGGATCTGAAGTGGGAAACAAACATCAACTCCATCCTCAAAAAGGCTCAGCAGAGGATGTATTTCTTACGGCAACTAAGGAAGTACGGCCTACCACAAGAGCTGCTGACCATCTTCTACACTGCTGCAGTCGAATCCATACTTTGCTCATCCATCACTGTCTGGTTTGGGTCAGCCACAAAAATGGACAAATGCAGACTACAGCGTATTATTAAAACAGCAGGAAAAATCATTGGTGCCCAGCTGCCCTCTGTCCAGGAACTGTACATCAGCAGGACCAGGAAAAAGGCAGTGAATATTGTCCAAGATGCCACACATCCTGCATCTACTCTCTTCCATCTCCTCCCATCTGGCAGACGCGATAGATCGCTGTACACAAAAACTACCAGACACAAGAACAGTTTCTTTCCTTCAGCCATTTCTCTCCTGAATCTGTAGATTCTTTTACCATCCTTTTGTAGTGGGATGAGTCACCTGCCACCGAGTAATTGGACGACCTATCATTGAGGGAAGGCGCTCATATAAATAGGGCCTGAGGTGGCGCTACAGCGATCTTTTACTTTGGCTTAACTTCCGCTTCCTGTGTGAAGAGCTGTTGTGTACGGGACTCCGGCGTGTCGGACTGTGAGTACTATTTAAAAACGCTGCAGTAGTTGCATGGAGTCTGGTGTTTATTGGTTGCTCCTGCCACAGGAATTGTTGTATGTGGTCCTCCCAGAGTAACGGAAGGCTTCTTTTATCCTATCTGCTTCAAAGAAGTGGTATGTACATCTGCGCTCCTCTCCACTTAGCTGTGGCTTTAGGATGAGACTAATTAATGTGTCTTCCAGATCCAGGAAGGGGTGTGTCTCCACAGGAGACTCTGCTGTTCTGCTGCTTTTCTGCACAGTTTCGTGAGATCTCTGTTACCGGTTGTTGACCCGGTGCTGGACCATCATCCGGCTCCAAGACCTCTCCACCCCGCTGCTCGGACTGGTTGACGGGATCAGCGGAGACCATCGGGAGCGGCTTTGTCACTCGCTCCTCTGTACCGTATACCAGCGGAGGGCGTACACCCGCTGTGGGGTTGGGTATTCTAACGAGGGGCTGCGGGCCCTACCGGCAGTTGTCGTCTGCCCGGGAGCTCATAAGGACGGCTGAGGCGCAGGCTAATAGATTTGTGTGCAGGCGAGCTGTATGCTCGCTCATTCCCTGACGGCCTGCCTGCTCAGTCGTGGCTGTGTGTGTGTGTGTGTGTATGTATGTGTGGATTTGGATTTTTACTGTTTTCTGTTTTCTTTTCATTTAGGCTGTGAGCTGACGGTGGTGGTCGAGCCCTGGTGGTGGTCCTTTTGATGGTGTGCGTGTGTTCCAGAGTCACTTCACCCCCCGAATGCATGCACGTGTGATTGGGGTGAAATTACTTGTGGTTGGTATTTAGTTCTGGGCTCTCTTAGGCAGCCCCATTAGTCAGCCTCAGCCTAAGTTGATTTGGTTTTAAGCAGTGTTGATCTGCAGGTGCATGGTGTTTTTAGATTATTTTAAACTCATTTTATTCTTTGAATAAAATCTGTTTGTGTGGAATGGAACTCCGTCTCAAGCTTGATTTGTAAAAATGAACTAATGTGCCTTAGTTTCAGTCGTTTTGGTTCCTGATAATCAGGTGGCGTTGTTTATAAATTGATAAGTGGCCCCGCTCGCCACACTTTTATTATAGTTTTTAATACTTAATCAGTATGCTTATGGATGTGTGTGTGTGTGTGTGTGCGTGAGTGTGTGTTTGTGCGTGCGTGTGTGTGTGTATGTATATATGTGTGTGTGTAAATGAACATGTGTGTGGGTATACATGTTCTTATGTGTTTTTAGGTATTTTTATTCTTCATTTATTATGGTTGTTGTATGTTTTAGAGAGCGAACATCTACCGAAGACAAATTCCTTGTAAATGTAATTTTACTTGGCCAATAAATCTGAAATCTGAAATCTGAATCTGAAAACATGCATGGTGTTTGAATTTATGAACTCAAATGAAACCTCTTAAATCTTCCAGTCTTGTTTCTGCAACTGAATCCGTGTCAGTTGTTCCACATCGTCTTCAGGCTCCTCCCTCCTTTCGCCAATGTGTTTACAATGCAAATGTGTTAGATGAAGGTAAATGTCCCAGTTGACACAGAAAAGATAAAACCCAACCATATCCCTCATGTTGTTTGCAGGCTGCCACAAAACCCCTAAAAGATTAACTCACATGAGTGATTTCCAGAAAAATGTAAACAAAAGGCTCATTTTATAACCCAAAGCCCTCCTCTAGTAGGCCTCGAAGGCCAGTATTCAGCAGGTTTTAGTAGTTTCTCTAGTCCAACACACAAAATTCAGTGATTGAATCACCTGTCTGCAAAAGCCTGTCAATCACCTGTTGATTGAAATCAGGTGTGTTGAAGCAGGGTTAAAACTAGGTTTGTGCTGGGGAGTTCCACTATGGACGCAGTAGCGCCTCTGGATCTGGAGGTCAGGCGGGCATGGTTCTGGCTGTGTTCCTGGACATAGAGAAGACCTATGAAATGCTGTGGAGGGATGGGCTGCTGGTGTCTCCATATAGAGCCGGGGTGCAGGCTCTATCTAGAGACTCCTCCTATACAGGAGGATGTGGCAGTGGATCAGGGGCTTCCTGTGTGACAGGACGACCCAGGTGTGAGTGGGAATGGGTGTTAGTGTATAGGTGTTTCAGTTTTCTGGGTACAATTTGAGGTTCTTATTTGCAATTGTTTACGGATGGCTCGAAGGACCCGGTAAGCAGCAGGGTGGGGGTGGTGGTTTGAGCGGTACAGAATAGGTTATCATATCTATGCTGATGATTGTCAGATATACCTGGCCATGAATGGACTAAACTCAGATGTATTGCTCAAGGATCTATCTGATGTGAAGGAGTGTCTGGCATCCAACTTCTTTAAACTTGATAAGTTTAATACCAAGCTGTGGCTTTAAGGGTTAAAATTTAAGATTCTGCTTTTGTATACAAAGCTTTGAACAGTCTGGCACCATCATTTGTTGGACCTAATTACCATCTGTGAGCCAGTGCGCTTGCTACGATCTGCTGACCGCCTGCTACTCCACACCCCGACAATGAACTATGTTCATGTATGTAGCTCCCACTCTTTGGAATGTACTGCCACTCGCTAGTCATCAGTCATCATCATCCATTGGTGCTTTCAAGTCACGGCTGAAGACGCACTTCTATAATTTGGCTTTTAGATTGTCACTTTTTAATATTGTTTTTAATTAAATTTTATTTCATTTATTTCACATTTTGTTTGCAGTATATCTGCTTTTATTTATTGTTTTAGTTGTATTTTTATGTGTTTGTTTTTATGTTGGGATGCGCTTTGGTCAGCTCCCATGCTGTTTTTAAATGAGTCATAGAAATAAATTGGTATGGTATGTATAAAATCAGTGTTCATTTTAAATAGCTTTAAATGTACTCAATCAAATACATTCAAGAAAGCACGGTTACACAACTGTACAGTTTTTCAGCAGAAGTCGGCAGCCCGTTGTGTTGTTTGGGAAACACTGGTCTTTAGAGCAAATTTGTTCAATTTTACCACAGATAGGTCTGCAGCACAGGGCCTAGAGGTTCTATCCAAACACATGGTGAGAGCCTGGTGAACGTCTAAACTCCGTCATCTGCAGGGACACTTCTAGACTCTGATTCACTTTCATTTCCATCCCCATGTGGGTTAGAGATGCATGAGAATGGAATGTTTTACTCAAGTTTCCTAAAAGAAATTTATATTAAAAAAAAGCCATTAAACATTTAAAATCATACTGCCATGACGAAAGTGGAGAGAACAGATAAAGAGTTCCAGAGCCTCACAGACTCAAGGAAGAAACCTTTTAGCATCCCTGGTGTCCAATCTTCTGCCAGAGGGAGGGATAGTGATAGTTTGTGGTTTGAGTGTGAAGGAGTTAATGTTCTCTAGAGAAGAGAAGACACTAACCACTCTTTAGAGCACGTATAGAAACGGAGCAGTCATCAGATTGTTACCCATACCTGACAAGTAAAAATAAATAAACACAGCAGCAGAGTGACCAACATTTTTTGCCTCCTTATTGAACAGAGCATTTGGTGGCCTTTTTCTCAGTCCTGAAGAAAGTGTTGTGGGCTGCAGCACCACCTGGTGGAATAACTTTTGTTTTGCTTTGTGATTTTTAATGGATATCTGGAAAGGTAAACAATGATATTTTCAGGTGCTGTTTTCTGAGTTCTTTCAGGCAAAAGCTGCAATCTTACCAAATTGGTATAAGAGCAGTGACTTTACAAGTAATGCTTATCTGAATGTTTAGATGTTCTCATTCTGCTTTTATTATGTGTTGGAGCTGTTTGGGTCACTTACAAATGTTGGGTATAATTGTTGATTAACCCTCCCACTGTCCTAATGGGTGACCCCGCGAGGAAAGTTTAACATTGAGCAGGGTTGATGGTTCATCCCTTGGGTCCATGTGGCAGGGGTGAGGAGTGACCACCCCACCCCTGCCAAGTGGACCTCAAGGCATAAACCATCAATCCTGCTCAGTGGTCAACTTTCCTCGCGGGGTCACCCATTAGGACAGTGGGAGGGTTAATGAAAATTTTATTTCTTCTGGTTGGGGTCTGGGGTGGTGGGTTGCTTTGCTCAGCGTTGGGCGGGGGAGCCTGCTCATCAGCGCCCCAGCAGAAAGGGTCGAACTCTGCGAACCGGTGATGGTTGTACTCCTTTGTGCAGCAGTACTGGGACCAGAGTGAATAGGGTGTGTGTGGGGAGCATGAGTGGGTGTCTGGCGTGTGTGTATGTGCGAGCATGACGGAGGGACTGTGTGACTGTGTCTGTGTATGACTGTGTATGTCAGGTGGGGCCTTTGACTCCTCCCCTCTCCTGGGACTTCTTTTGACACTATACATCTTAGCCCCCCCCCCCCCCCCCCCGGAGGGGAGGCAATGTTTTTTTTTTTTTTTTTTTTTAATCCGAGCAGGAAAAGCAGTAGGAAATAGAGGTGTGTAAAATACCAGCAGCTGTCACCTCCAGAAGTTCTCTGATGACTCGGCCATAGTCAGCTGTGTGTCCAAGGGGAATGACCAGGAGTACAGGTCTGTCATCATGGACCTTGTGGACTGGGGTGAGCATAACCACCTTCGCATTAACACCAGTAAGACAAAGGAAATGGTGACTGACTTCCAGAGAAAAACTCCTTCTCACTCACCGGTAAACATTAAGGGAGCAGACATTGAGGTGGTGAATACTGTTAAGTACCTGGATGTTCACCTCAACAGTAAACTGAACTGGTTCAACAACACAGATGCTCTCTAGAGGAAGGGCTAAAAGGCGCCTTCACCTCCTATGGGGTTGAGGTCCTTCGGAGTTAATTCCCAGCTGCTAAAATCCTTTTATCACTCTGTGGTTGGCTCTGTTATTCACTCTGTGGTCTGTTGGGGTGCAGGCAGCTCTGACCGAGACAGGAAGAGACTGAACAAGCTGGTTCTGAGCTGCCCACTGGATACAGTTGAGGAGACCTGTGAAAGGAGGAGGTTGGGGATGATGACCATCATCTTAAAAACCCCTCCTTCCCACTGCATTCCAATGTGGAGATCATGGACAGCTCTTTCAGAGGCAACGTGAGACCTCAGATGTAAAACAGAACATTACCGTAGGTCATTCATCCCCTCTGCTGTAAGAGTGTATAACTCCTCAGTTTAAGTTTTACTGGCATCATCTTGTTACACAATAACACTAATGCAATACTCATTGTGCGTACAATACTCGTTCAATACCGGATTTACACAGTATGTCCTTGTCTCTTGCAGAACGCTGCATAGTGTTGGAAACTTAAGTATTTTTCCTTTTTTTATTCGTTGCTTTTGGTGGTCAAAGGCTTCAATTCTAGAATACTGCCTATGTGTATATACATGTACCTTTATTATTATTTTTTTCTTCAAATTATTCTCTTAAGTGTTGGTGCTGCTGTAACAAGCAAAATTTTCCACTGTGGATCAATAAAGTCTATTCTTTTCTATACTTGCCAGGTTGGATGAATAAGCCTTTAAAATTCAACGTTTAAGATCTTTTGGACATTGGACTTCTTTTGCCTGCATACAAAATTTCACTCCAGTGCAGCAGTGGCTTAAGGATCTAAAAATTGAGGGAAATTGGTTGGACAAACTAGGAATCGACACTATATTATATGAGAAGCATATTTTATTGATTTCAGAAAAAAAGAACTTCAGAATTAAATCTATTGTTATTGTATCAACACAGTCCTGATCCATTAAGAATGCTAGTGTTCTAATTTAATGAATGTTAATAATCAAAAAAACATAGTTGGCTTATGTTTGCAGAACAACAAACATTTTCCTATTTTACTTTGTTAAAAGCTTTCTTGATTACCCATGGCTTCCCGGAGCAACAGTGGAAAATGACAGACCTCGGCTCTGTAGACCAGTCCTTTCTGGAGTCCAGCATCAACATTCAGCATAGAAGTACAGGACTGATCAGGCTAGATTTGATCCCGACCTTGTTAGAATGAATTTCTGATTGGATCCACAGAATTTGATTAATATAATAA